GAGAGGAGGAGAGAGGGACAGAGAGCCAGAAACGTCAATGAGAGAGAAACATCGACCAGCTGCCTTTTGCACACCCCCTACCGGGGATGTGCCCACAATCAATGCCCTTGACCAGAATCGAATCCAGGACCCTTCAGTCCGCAGACCGACGCTCCACCACTGAGCCAAACCGGTTTCGGCTCTCATGTCTTCTTAGTTGAGCCAAGAATGACCTTTCAAATCCTGGGATCTTGTTCTTGATGCCTCGGTTTCCCTGGTCCTTCAGGTCATGAGTAAATGGATGTGAGTAGAAGGATGTAGAGAAAACAAGATTACTATGTAGATGGAGAAATGGCCTCTGTTCTGCAAAAAAAACAAAAAATAAAATGGGGGGAAATGGAGGCATAGAAGAATGTTTCGAGGTTTTAATGGTCGTTAGGTGGCTGATCTGAGATGGGCCATGAGAGTCCCTCTGCCCTACAATACTATAAGCACGTCTGAGGGAAGGACTGGTCTTCCTTCTGTGGCATCTCATTCGGGATTTCTGTGCCCTAGAAGCCTGCACTTGGTGTGTCTGAGTTTTCATGCCTCCCCATGGCCTTCAGAATTTATCTTGTCTAGGGGGTACGGCCAGGGCACAAAAGGCCGGAAAGCCTGGGAAATGGGGACGGGGAGGTGAGGGGTCCCTGGGATCTTGGTGTTATTCCCCCACCTACCTGATTTAGCACTGCCCCTCCCTTCCCTTCCCTCCCCTCCCCCAGGGCAGCACAGTGGCCCCAGTGACAGAAGCAAGGTCACTGCTCACCATCCCTTGCCAGGCACAGTGCCCGTTCTTTTTGCTTCCTAAGACCAACAGCGGGGCCTCTCAACCTGGGGAGAAAGGATGGAGGAGAGCCTCTGACCTGGCCAGCGTTCCTGAGTGGGCGGTCTGTTGCTTTGAGGAGATTTGAAGGCCTCTCTAGCGAGAGCTAAGCCTTTATGGTGTGTGTGTGTGTGGGCAGAAGGAGTGTCAGGAAACGTTTCTCTAGACCAGGTGATAATACAGGGTCTCATTCTAGTCAGTAACTCCCAGACAAGCTCTGTGGGGCTTGGTGTCCTCCAAGGGGCTAAGTCCAAGATTCCAAGATTCTATGACGAGACCTGTGATTCATTCAGTCACTCACAGAGCAAACAGACTTCCACTGAACAGCTGCTAGGAACCAGGCCCTGTGCTAGGTGAAAGGAATACAGACATGAGTAACTCCCGTGAGGACTCCCTCCTTCCTGGGAGTGGTGGTGTATAATTTTATATTGTCTCAGGAGAAAGGAAAACAGAAAGGACCCCAACCAGAACACAAGCCCCAAGATGCCAAATGGCCGTGTTTACTGTTCCCTAGGGACTGTCAAGGAGACCCTGGTCTTTCAGAGGCTTTTTGCACGCAATTCCCCACCCCTGGTCAATCAGACGCCCTTCTCTGGTGAAGGATGCTAAAGGGGGTGCTGAGGGCTGCCCCGGCTGGGGCCCAGTGGAAACCTGGGGGTGTGGCAGGATTGGGGGTCTTCCTCCTGGGGGGAGGGAGCTAGTGGCTGTCTTCAACTGGCAGCCCAGACCCTTTTCTTTGCCTCTGGATTTCTCCTCCTCCCCTGCCATCCACCTGTGGCCCCATCAGTGAGAAACTTCCTGGGAATATTGTGGAATCAGAGCTGGGATAGGTTAGAGTTCAGTAGGACTAGCAGCCTTCGCTGACCCTCCACCCTCTGAATCGCTCTCCTCTAAGCGAACAAAATGTGTCACCACGCCTGTGTGTGCGCAACAAGAACATCTTCTCTCCTGACATATTTCAGAAACAAGGTTCCCCATCTCTCCCAGGAGCCTGTGTTCCCGTGTTTCTCTCTCCTCGCTCTCCAGAACTCGCAGAAACTCTTTCAGTGGCCAAGGGAAGGGAGTAGCTGAGGTCAGGGGTGGGGCTGCTGGTATGGACGGAGGCAACTAACTGCTGTAAGGCCCGGGGTGTGTTAGGCTTCTGTCCCCCATGGCCCCTCCTGTAACTGCGGGGTGGGCGGGCGCATCCCTCATTACATTTGCGATGCCTCTGCCTGCAGCCTGACCTCTGCCCCCAGCGCGCAGCGAGCAGTCCACGGAGCACCGGGTGCCCGCCCCCCGCACCCCCTCCCCCCATAAAGGCCTCCACATCTCCCCAAAGCAACAGGCCGCCCACTCTGGAGCGCTGCCAGGTCAGAGGCTGCGCTCCGTCCTTCCTCCCCCGGAGGAGAGGCCCTGCCTGTTGGTCTCAGGAAGCAAAAAAACGGGCCCTGCGCCCCAGCAGCTCCGGGACGCGGAGGCCTCCACACCCCCTCCCGCCGGGATGCGGCGGGCGCGCCCCCGCGGGCTCCGCGCCCCGAGGCGCCAGAGCGCGCACGTGCGGCCGGGCGTTGGGCTCCGGAGGCGCGCGCGGCGGGGCCGCCGGCCTGTCGGGTCCGTCGGGGCCGCGGCGCAGCAGCTGGTACCAGGCGGTTCCAAACAGCAGCCGTGGGTCGGACCCGCAGGGCGGACGCCCTGGGCTTCTCCCGCGGCCGTTGGGTCTCATTTCCCCGTGCGCTGCGGTCTGGGGGCGAGAAAGGAGTGGGGGGGGCGTCCTAGGCTTCCCACGGCGGCTGCGGCCGGGGGTCCACGTGCTCCCCCCGCCCCCGCTTCCTCCAGGTTCACTGGGCGTCAGCCCGGTGCCAGGCCGCGCCGGGGCTGGAGCTGCTAATTCGGTAGCTTCCAGGCCGGGGTGGGTGGGGCGCGGAGGCCCAGGGTGAGCGCCCGGGGAAGCCGGGGGCGGGGCTTCCACACCCGAGGGGGCGGGCGGCCTCCTGGAGGAGGCGGCCTTCGCGGTGGCACAGAAGGGCGAGGAGCCCTCCGCCAGGGAAAATCGATGGGGATACACCAGGGCGTTCCAGGAGAGGGGAATGTGCGTGTGTGGTCGCCACGCGATTAGCAAAGCAGGGCCAATGACAGCTAAAAGAGAATCATTATTTTATTTTTTAGGATCTGGTATTGGAGTATTTGAGATGTTGCTTCCCAGAAAATTGTCATCAGTTTTGGCTCAAATAAGTTCTTATAAAGTTTAAAAAAATAATTCTGGTATTTTGGAAGAAGGTATTGACGTAGTCATTATGGGAAGAAACGGAACTTTATTGGACTTATTTACACTTGTTTTTGTAAAAATAGATTTTTATTGATTTCAGAGAGGACGGGAGAGGGAGAGACAGAAACATCAATGATGAGAATCACGGATGGGCCTTTGACTGGAATGGAACCAGGGACCCTTCAGTCCGCAGGCCAATGCTCTACCCACTGAGCCAAACCAGCTAGGGACTGTTTTTATGTTTTAATTACGTTTGTATGGGGGGGGGGGGGCAGTGGGACCTGTTTTCTGAGCCTGCTGGGGCTGTGGCTCAGTGGCAGCCTTCAGAGTCACTGCAGGCCAAGAGAGGGACGCTTTAAGACCTGCCGTCTGTAAAGGGGGGGCATGTTGAGGGCTGGAGAGCAATTCTGCTTCCCCAGACTGTCCCAGGCCAGGCTGAGCGCCCACGTGTCGGTACCTGGAGGAAGAATTTCTTTTCCTCCTGACCCCGCTGCCAGGAGTTTCTGGGCGGAGCACTCCAGCTTCTGATCATTCCTCTGCACCCCCACCCCCCCAAGCCGGTTGTTCTGTGGCTTCAGTCCCCTCCCTCACCCCGCAGCTCCCTCCTTCCATCCTGAGCCCCGACAGTCTGTCTTCCAAAGCCCAGTGGCCTTTCTATTGGTAACAACAGTATTTATTGAATCCCTAGTGGGGAAAGGAACATTTCATCTTTAATACGATTCTGGCATGTTTATTATTAAATACAGGAACTCTGTGTCCTGGAGGAGTTAACTAGCTCAGCCCTAGGTAGTAAGTGGCAGACCTGGGGTGTGAACCCTGCACCCACGTGCCTTGCAGCTCGGCCCTCCCTTGGGTCCGGAGCACTGGCTGAAAGCCTAACTGTGCCTTGGCAAGTGGCCAAGCCGCTCTGCATGGCCAAGAAACTCCATCTCCTGGTTCTGCTCAGCCCACACTGGGGCTGGCCTGGCCTGGGGAACTTGACAGAGAGGCATTTATGAAAAGACTGAGCTGGGGTCAGTCAGTGGCTTCCCAGCCCCCGGAGTACTGCTGGACACTGCCACTCAGGATCACCCAAGAAAAGCCAATCCCGGCCAACCTCGCACCCCTCTCCCCTCTGTGTCCCACCCTCCACGGTGGTCAGCACGTGGCTGTTCCACCGCACCAGATGGGAGATGAAGGGCCTCGCTGCCCTTGGCTCAAATCCCTGCTCTGTAGGGCCCAGGGAGCCCACTGCCCCGATAGTCAGGAGTTGGAGTAAACCCTTTGGACTAAGTTGCTGGGTGAGCCGCAGTGACCCAGCTCTTCTAGTACTAGAGGTAGTTTGCTTCCTGGGGAGAACAAGGTCAGAAAGACTGAGACACAGCCCAGCCTCGGGCAGTGGGTGTCAGGTGCCCTTGCACATCTTCCTGGCTTGGGGGCTCGGAGTGAAGGTTGTCAGCATTTCCTCCAGGGCCACACAGGTGCCCCAGGTTCCCTTCACAAGAAAACAGGACAGAAAGGAATGCTCCTAGGCCCACTGAAAGCTGGGCAGACTGCATGCTCACTAAGGTTAGGTAGGGACCTACCCAGCTCTGTCCACGTATCTTCCGAGGCAGGAAGTAAATCAGGCCAATGGAAGGTCACCCTGGCTCTAGACAGCCGCCATCCCAGAGAGGCGTCTGGGGAACCAGGCTGAAGAGCTGAAAACAGCCACTTTCATTTGGGGGCAAACAGGACTGCGAGAAAGAAAGCAGGAGAGGCTCTCATGGATTTTCAAAACACGACTTTGAGAGTTGCCATTCAGGATGCAATCTGTGGACTAAATCCGATCCTTTTGTTAAAACGGCATAAAATTTATTTACAAATATCTGTACAGTTTGTGTGACAGGTCAGGATTTCACAACAGAAAAAGAAAACAAAAGCATTCTTCTCCAAGGGAAGTTGCAGGCGTAGACTTTCCCTGCACCTGTCAGAAGCAAGACAGACAAACAGACCTATACATCATGGGTTAGGCATATGGACACTGGCCTTTTTGCTTCTTGGAAGGAAGTGAAAAATGTATAAAACAGCCTTAGGTACTGCACCCATCAACACTGAAACCACTTTGGGGGGGAGGGGTAGAGGTGGGGTGTGGAGCAGGGGGGCCCTGCAGCAATTCCCCAGCACAAGAAAACAAGAAATGCTGTGAACCACCAAAAAGCCCAGCAGATTCTATAATTTCCTATCTTATGCCTGGGTAGGATTTCAGTTCAGAGGCCCTGCCTCAGGTGAGACTGGAGCCAAGTCCTCAGTCTTGATTGCAATCACCGATGGGCTACTCGGTGATGAGTTAACTTTCAGTCTTCTTTGGTTGGCTTTCTCCCTGCTATTTTGGCGTCTCAGAACGAAAGTTTCAGCAGCTGCATGTGGGGAGGTAGTGGTGAAGTGGCTACAGTGTGATGCAGTTTTAATAAAAATTTTATTACACAGCCATATGTAATTGACACTTCTCCAAATCCAAATGATATTAAATACAGATCTACATGGTGAATCAGAATGACTCCAGCAAATTCTTCAGATTCTATAATTTCGTGTCTTTTAAAACCAGGAAAGAGAAAATCCAAGTTAGTCATGATAGGAGAGGTCCCAGCAGCCTCCGGGACCCTGCTGGAGTCCAGGCAACATTTAAGTCTGTGATTCCACATTTATACAATAGTCTATAAAGGGTTCTGGTCAATGGACTATTCAAGTATATATGATTTTAATGAGTCCATCACCACTCCTTTGCCCAACTGAACTGTGTCACAGCTACCACATAGCTGTGTAACAGTTATATTTATCAATTTTATAGTCACAATACTTTTTAAAAACCATTCATTACTGCATTTTTTAAAAATAAAAAAGTGTAAACTAAGTTAAAGCAATGCTGAGGCTCTACTAAACCCAGAAGAGTTATTAGCAAGTTCATTTTTATGTTTAAATACAACATAACTTCATGATTTCCCATCACCCCCCTTCTTACAGAAAAGTAGAGAAGAAATACAAAGTAGAGCTTCTAGCTACGGTAGATTTCCTCTCCCATGGGAATCAGCAGCTCTCAGCTGTTTCTTTAGCTTAGTTCTTGGTATATATAGACAGCTGTACTTTGTTCTGAAAAGATTTGTTAAATGCCACTTTTATTTACACTTGGAGCTTTACACCTGAGAATGATTATCAAGCAGTCAGCTTATCTCTTTTCAAACATTTCATAAAGACATACACACTTCTTTGCTGGCTTCACCCTAGCTGCACAATATACAGTATATATGTATACACACACACATATATGTATACACACACACAAAACTGCACATGCTTGTAACATTTGCAACCTAAATCTTTTTGTGTTCTTTCTCTCCACATCATGTTAAATACTTTCTCTTAAAAACAAAATATTATTCTTACTGAAACAGCAAAACAGAATCACTAGAAAAAGAGACAAGTACATGGGGTGGGGAGGTTCCCTCTACGCTCAGCCAGAAGCTGTGTTCTGTACCCGTGGGATGAGCGGCCCTGCACTGCCCTCCCTGGGACATGGCCGTGGGCCCTTCCCGCCTGCCAGGACACGGCCTACGGGAAGGGGCCTGACGGAGGAGTTTTCCTCAAGGTGGGAGGTGATGAGGAAGAGATGGGGAAGGGGAAGTTACACAGCTACAGCAGTCAGGCCAGTTAATTAAGAAGAGTCACATTTAATGAGTTTCTTTCTTGCAGTTTCAGATGCTCAAGTACAGCTGAAAAAAAATCTGAAACGGCTATAGACCCATGACAGACTGATACAAAGAGTACTGCATTTTTTAAAAATGATAAAAAAAAATCCACACACTTGCAGACACACACACACACACACACACACACACACTCTCTCTCTCTCTCTCTCAATCGACCCCCCTCCCTCCCCACAAATGTACACTTTTTTGAAACTAAATTGATTTTGAAAACCCCTCTTCCACAGAGATGGGAAGAAGAAAGATGAGGAGAGAGGACGGAGGAGTGTAGGTGCCTGAACCTACTCCCCCCACAAGGGCCAGGTTCCAAATGTGCATGTTTGGGTCAGTGCAGTCCAGAAAGCAGACTGCGCAGTGCTGCTGCTTACACCACCGGGGCTCCAGCAAGAATCCCAGCTTCACGTAATACTGAATGCGTGCAGAGTGGCCATGAACTGTGCTGGTAAAAAAAAAAAAAAAAAAAAAAAAAAAAAAAAAAAAAAAAAAAGCAAACACAAATCTAAAGACATGGATAAAGCCCAAGAGAGCCCAGGTCCCCACTGGGTGAGCCTGGAAGTGGGAAGGGTTGATGGAAGATGGTGCAGACAAGGGGAAGTCTATACAGCAAATGGTTTATATTACACATGACTGGCAGTTTAGAGTCTCTTCCCAGTTTCTACTGCTGCTCCAGCCCAAAGAGGGCACATCAAAGGCAGAGGAAGGTGGGACAGCGATAGGGCATGCAGGGTCAGAAGCAGCAGGCTGGGTGCACTCAAATAAGCCCCCGTCGTTTTTTGTAGTCTTCCAAGTTCAGAGATCTCCTTGGAGCCCCATCCTTGGCTGGTGGAGCTTTTGAGGTGATGGCCAAAGCCTTTGATTCTATGGGAAAGAAGAGCAAATTGGCAGCTGAGGTGCCTACAAAGTAATGCTTTACTCCTACCGGTGGCCTTCCTGACTGTCCATCCCATTCCCTCTCCAAACACACCTGCAGCCTCTATAAGTACGGAGCAGAGCCCTCAGTTCTTCCCTAAATCAGGCTGCCTTGTAGGCCGAGAGGGCCATGGAGCTATCTGGTCCTTGGCCGTTACCACTCCCACCCTCACGTACCTGAGCTGGGAACTTGTAAATCAATCTTCACATCGAAATCGTGTACTTTGAACAAGTCTTCTGAGAGGTCATTGGCTGTCTTAGAATTCAAATCTTTATCCTTCCCCTGACCCTGCAATGTGAAGAGGAAAACTAATTAGAAAAGCATAAATGTAAGTGGACTTCAAGCAGAATTAATGGGAAAAGCTCTTGCTCAGGTTTATTAGATCTTCCAACGAAGGCTCTTTTCTGATTCCTTTTCTCAGAGCATAGGAAGGAGGCCACAGATAAAGAGGGTTCTTTTCTGAAACTTAAAAGCAAAGAGGAGAGGGCAGGCTCATGGTGTGAGGGCAGAAAGATAGGCTTAAAACAGCCAACCTCTGACCCAAGATTTCAGGAATTCCTGGCAGTTTGGGCTCTACAGGAAAAGATCTAACTTAGGCAGAAAAGTGGTTCTCTTTCGGGCAGTTTCTCAGGTTAGATTTTTAGTTTTCAAAGAGCTTTCACTTTCACCATTGTCTGATCCCTGTATGTCATTGCTCCTCCTAATTTTCCTGTGAGGTAGGCAGGGTATAGAGTGTTATACGCATTGTACCTAAGAGAAAATGTGGATCAGGGGACTAGATGTCAGTTGCCTAAAGCTGCAGTGAAGGCCTTAAGGCTTTAAGTGGTGTTGGGTTAGAATTTAAATTATGTGACAAAAATTCAGCAGCTGTTTACCATATTTGTACATAAGAGAGGAAGGAGAAAGAATGGTCAGTGGGACTTCATGTTCCTAGATGGGAAAATCTAGTCCAAACTGGGCAAGGTCCTGCCTGGTGTCCAGGCCTGCAGCCTCGCTCCACCGGCACAGGGGAGGCGGTGCTGCACTTACCTTGCTCATTTCCTTTGGAGCATCTGGTAACACTCCAGAGCCATATTTTGCATTCAGCTGGGCCAAGATGGCAGCTTGAACAGCTGGGTCTCTGGACTGAGAGAGGAAATAAGATTATTCAACACTCGGACAGTCCTACTAAGATTCTTTCCTCTCCACCATCATTAACATCACAGGCACCACGGGGTTCCACCAGCAGCTTAGTGGGGTTTTCCTCAGGCCACGCCCAGCCTAGCCAGGTCTAGATGGGTGACCCGGCCTACACATTTCTAAGTCTGAGGCACAGGGTGGTTTAGTCCATAGGTTTCTATAAACCTATGCCAGGCTTTTACCACCTGGATGGCCTATAGCAAGATAAAAATGGAAGTATCCAGATCCAAGAGTCTGAGGCAAGCAAATCCCACTAAGATAACATTATTTTTAACTTGTTTAATCATCTCCTAATGGAGCCCATTTTATGACCCAGAATGCAGGTCCCGAGTAAAAACGTCCTCGTTAGGCACTCACATTGGAAACGATAGTAGGTTTGCATTGTCGTCTGGTAAAGGGATCCATCTGTTGGTTTTTCATGTTGTGACTTTCAGCCTGAAACAGAAAGCATGTATTATAGGTCTATATCTCCTGTGCCCTCCTCTCATCATGAGCTCACATATAAATAACAGTCTTTGCAAGGGCCTGAAAAAAAGTCAAAGCTGTCTATCCTTCTTTTCCCCTCAAGAATACCAAAGTATGCCGAATACCAAAGTTTGGCTCAATGGATAGAGCGTCGGTCTGCGGACTGAAGGGTCCCGGGTTCGATTCCGGTCAGGGCCATGTACCTTGGTTGCGGGCATATCCCCAGTAGGGGGTGTGCAAGAGGCAGCTGATCGATGACTCTCTCTCATTGATATTTCTAACTTCCATCTCTCTCTCTTCCTCTCTGTAAAAAATCAATAAAATATATTAAAAAAAAAAAAAAGAATACCAAAGTAGATATGGGGACAACCACTTAAGGAACAAAACTGGAAACAGATAAAAACAAATACCTGTGGAAGAATCTAAGGGTGGGGAAGAGATAAGCCAGAGCAGAAGACTGTTGCTTTTCATCATAAATTAACCAGAGGCCCAATGTACGAAATTTGTGCACGTGGGTGGGGGGGTCCCCTCAGCCTCTCCTGCGCCCTCTTGCAGCCCAGGAGCTCTTGGGGGATGTCCAACTGCTGGTTTAGGCTGGGGAGCAGGCCTACGCCAGCAGTCGGACATCCTTAGCGCTCCCGAGGAGGTGGGAGAGGTTCCCGCCACCACCGCTGCGCTTGCTAGCCATGAGCCTGGCTTCTGGCTGAGCTGTACTCCCGCTGTGAGAGCACAATGACCACCGGGGGCAGGTCCTTCATTGAGCGTCTGCCCCTATTGGTCAGTGCGCATCATAGTAACCAGTCATTTTGCATAGTAGTCTTTTATTATATAGGATAAACTGAATGGTGTTTGTATATATACGTACAGAGCACATATGTGTTAACTAAACACATTATATCAATAATTTAAAAAATAAGCTCAATCCAGATGTAGAGAGTATTTCATATCATTTTACTAACTGAAATTATGTTGAGCAATCCAGATAAAGTTCTTACCACAAGGGCCTTCTCAGACTCCACAATGTTCCATTCCCGGTTCCGCTGGTTGATGTAACTAGGGGGTAAGGAAGAGGAATGAGTCAGTGGGCTGTGAAGCAAGGAAGGGAACCACTGAGCTCTGACCTCAGAGAGACGAGAAGCCAGTGCAGCACAGCATGTACAAGGATGTGGACCAAGGATAGGAACCCAATCAAAACAGGCTCTGTAACACACCTAATAGCAGATATGTTCTTGGTCCGCTGGCGGTCCAGGGCCTCTGCCCGCTCCTCCAGCTCATTCAGCTGGTCTTGGATTTGTTTGGCCTTGTCCTGATCCCCCAGGTCCTCAGCCATGGCCTGCACAATGAGGAAAGTGTGTGATTTTGGCTACAATTTGTATCACGTGTCCCCTGACTTCTAGCACAAGCAAGCTATCTTACGATATGAACAAATGTCAGATGTGAAATAATACTTAAAACTTATAGTATTATAGTAACACGTTCCCATAGCTACCTGGCTCTGGGCCTCTGGTAGTATTAATGAAGAACTCAGGCCCTATATGTCTAACTCACTCCAACAAGGTCACCCTATCCTGATGGGAAGAAGGAAAACCACCTACTGCAGCTGGGCGTGGCAATACAATTCATCTGCTCAGACCCAGACTGATGTGCCCTAGGGACTATCTGATCATACATGAAACTGAAGTGATTAGAAAGTAAGAAGAAAAGAAGCAGCAAGGTCAATTTCCATTCCTAGAAAGGAAAATCCTGCCCCTGCTTACTCGCCAGGGTGAACAAGTTTGATTCTCACGTATCCTCAGAGGACAGGGAGAGAGGTCTGGGAGCAAGTCCTTACCTTTTCCTTTAGCAGCTGCGTCTTCTTCATGGCATAGTTAGGCGGAGCTTTCCTGAACCTTTCTTTCTCTTTTACAATCTGTACCAGAGAGGAGATACCAGCAGTGAGGTATTCCTAACCTATTTTTGGAGAGGCTAAGTGAGCCCATTTTGTAGGCAAGCAGCTAGTTAAAAGGGGGCAGTGTCTGCCCCAGAGAGAGCGAGTTCATTCCAAGGGACACTATGCTGCATCCGGGGTCACGGAGGTTCTTCCGGGACAGTCTGAAGGAACATGCACCAATAAACAGCAGCAGCCAGAGGCCTGGTATTGTAAGGCTAGCCACTGTCCAAGAGAACAGAGATCAAAGAATTTTACCAAAATATTTTGGAAGAAAAAAACTCTTGAAGGACCAACCCTAGCAGAATACAGATTCCTGGACCCTGAATACCCTTCTATAATCTATGACTTCAAATGAGAATGTATAGAAAAAACTCAGATAAACTGTAAACACTAAGAGGGCAATACCAGCATTCCCTCATCCTCATGCAATAACGGCACAGCTAAACACACCAAGATGTGAGGAAGGGAGCCCTAGCCAGTGTGGCTCAGTGGACAGAGCATTGGCATGCAGACTGAAGGGTTCCAGGTTGGATTCCAGTCAAAGGCATGTACCTCAGTTGCAGACTCCTCCCCAGCCCAGGCCCTCATTGGGATGCATGCAGGAGGCAACCAATTGATGTGTTTCTCTTATATCAATATTTCTGTCTTTCCCTTTCTCTTCCACTCTCTCTAAAATCAATGGAAAAATATCCTTGGGTGAGGATAAAAAAAAAAAAAAGATGTAAGGAGGGGAAAGTCATACTCTTCCTTAACATTGGTTCTTGATGAACCTCTAGTCTCTGAAATACAGTTTTCTTACCTCTTCAATGTCTTGATCATTGAATTTATAATTAAGAGCATCTTTAATAGACAATTCCTTCTTATTGATTTCATCTAGAGTGGGCAACTGCATGCCAGCAGAGAACATCTGGACCACAAAACATAATAAAAAAGTTATATAATAAGTGATTTTGGAAAGAAACGCTGTAACCGTTTTCAGGAAAAGCTAGATGTTGTCTTCCCACTTACCGCTTCTTTCCACTTCATGAATTCGCTTTCAGTGAATTCTTGGTTTGAGACAAACTCTAGGCGGAAAACTCGTTGGTCATTGCCATGCCTACATAAAAAAGAGACAGCATCTCCAAGAATATGTTGAAAAGTACCAGCAAAGCAACCCTACCGGACTCTGTACCATCTATTTCTGTGGTTCTCAATCCTGGCTACGCTTTAGCATTATCAAGATTTATAAAAATTCCAGTGTCAAAGCACCTTTGTAGATAAACTGAATAAAAACCTCTGGGAGTAGGAACCAGGCACTGAAATTAACAAACAAAGCAAGCCTCCCAGGTTGTTGTAATGTGCAGCCAAGATTAAGAATCAGCCCAGCTGGCGTGCCTCAGTGGTTGAGTGTTGACCTATGAACCAGGCGGTGTTTTGGTTTGATTCCAAGTCAGGGCACATGCCTGGGTTGCAGGCTTGATCCCCAGTAGGGGGCGTGCAGGAGGAAGTTGATCAAGGATTCTCTCTCACTGATGTTTCTCTCTCTCTTTCTCTCCCCCCCCCCTTTCTTCCTCTCTGAAATCAATAAAAATAAAAAATAAATTAAAAAAAAGAAAGCTATGGACTTGGCCTGATACTTCAAAAGTCCATTTATAATAAAATTTGTCAGTCAACTGGCCTCAAGAATATCTGAATGACAAGGAAACTATTCCCTAGAGAGGAAGAACACTATCTTTCTACTGACCCCTGTGCTGACAAAGTGAGTCAGTGCCATTCTCCTAGAGACAGTCACTTGCTGCACATCATGGCTGCTGCCCTCCCAATCGGTTCTTTTCACACAGACCAGGGGAGATAAGGGGACAGGAGAAGGAGTGGGGAGGCCACAGAGAGCAGTCAGGCCACGGTAGAGCAGTGTCTATTACTGCTATTTGCAGTGTTCCTGACAAACTGCTTCTAGACCAATGTGGGGCTTTAGAATCTTCAGACAAGAGGGCCGGGATTTGTATGTGTGTTTTGTTGTCACTGCTATCCTGATCCTCAGAACAATGGCACATAGCAGACACTCAGTAAATACCGTGTTACTGAAGGGGAAACAGGGGAAACGAAGTCCAGAAAGGTGACCTGACTTGTCAAAGGTCCAGAGCCAGGGCCAGAAAGCAAGCCTCCTGACCATGCTTAGGAAATGCTTAGGGCTCTGGGAGGAGGGAGTCTTACAACCTGACTTTTTACTTCTACATGTCCTACCACTTCATATCTCTGATTTCCCTAGGAGAGAGACATATATCCTCCTTTCCCTCCAGGCAACAGCATAATAAAAGTCCCAGAAAACCATCACATGGGAAAGAGTAACAGCCCACACAGGCAGTGCCTGTTTGCAATGGCCACACAGAAACCCCCCTCCTACCGTAGCTGTAGCCCTTTGTTTGTCCTGGTGCCACCAAGCTGGTAAACCTTGGCGGTTTCCACAACACCCGTGATCTCAGCAACCTAGGAGAAAGGACAGAGACGATAGTCAAAAACAGTCAGAGCTCTCACACCACTCTCTGTGGCTCCATTTACCGACTGCAGATGAGTGGCCCTGCGCTGAGAGGAGTCCACAGCTGCAAGGTGCCCTGGCACCTTTCTCAGGGTTAGAACTGATGGCCGAACACCAGGACCCTGTGTGCAGGGTAAGCAAGCACCAGGGGAGGAGGCAGTTCGCCTGTGAGGCTCATGAGAAGCTTCCCCTCCAACTTAATCCTACCTTACTGGGGGAGGTACTTGGGATTTCAGAGGTCAGTTTTATCGATCAAATATGAAGATCATGGAGGTCAGTTCCCACTGCCAACCTTTCCTGGGTAACATATGTTAAATCCATACAATTCAGAACAAATGGGACTAGAAGAGGGACAGATTTATGCGGTATCTCTTAGAGAGTAATTACATTTAAAACATGGATAACTGTTCAAGGAAAAAAACACCAACCCGGTACACTGGTTTGCTGTTGTGGTTCCCAATGCCAATCCGTACAAAACAGCCGGTGACAGTTTTAGCAAAGAAGGGCATGTGACACCAACGTTCCAGCTTGTGCCGCGATAATCGAACCCGGTTCAGTTCTTCGGGTAAGGACACTGGCTGTGATTTTGGAGGGATCTCTTCTTTCCTGTGAGGAACAAAGGGCACTGGGCAAAGTGTTCATCATAAAAACTGATCCAGATAAAACTTAACAAAATCAAAGTGATTAAGGCACTAGATTAAGGCACTAGAAGAAACAAATGAACCGACAGGAAAGAGTGGTACTAGAATCCTGTTCTTAACCAGTAGTGTGAACTGTTGATAAGGCTGCCACCTTCCCAGATAACCTATTAGAGTAAGGAAACAAATGGAAGCATCTGGCCAAAATGAGGGTGACATGAAGTCAGTTCCTACCTACTGAGCCCAAATGAAATGTTAAGTAAGGGCTTCAGGCCAATGTCCTGGGGAACCCAGCTCCGCGGTCCAGGGTACTGGACAAACAATAGTCAGAGACCAAACAGGGGGGTTTTGGAAACTACAATAAGCTTCTCCTCAGAGAACCCACCTGTCCTAACTACAGACCAAAATGTACACAAGCTTACTCTTCTTCTTCATCAGAGGACGACGTTCGGTCTGAGCGGTCTGACTTTTCACTGGATTTGTCATCCTCTTCCTCTTCCTCATCGTCAGAGTACACCTCACTGGTTTTTAATGGCTGTTTTTTGGCGAGGAGCTCAGCTAAAAAGAAAGGGAAAATGTTTACTTAGTTTACTCAGTAAGAAAATGGAACATTCTTCATCTTTGAAAAAGAACTAACACATGGGAATGACTTGATAGCTCCATCTGCTTGGGACTGGATTGTGATGATTTGAATACATGAAGAAGTGAGGCCCTGGACAGTTTGGCTCAGTGGGTGGAGCATCGGCCTGTAGACTGAGGGTCACAGGTTCGAATACAATCAAGGGTATGTACCTCGGCTGCAGGCTCAATCCCCAGCCCTGGTCAGAGCGGTGTAGAAGGCAACCAGTTGATGTGTCTCTCTCACATCAGTGTTATTCTCTGTCTCTCCTCCTCCCTTCCATTTTCTTAAAATAAATAAATAAATAAATAAATAAATAAATGGGAAAATATCCTCGGGTGAAGATTAATAAAACAAACAGGAAAACAAACCAAAACAACAACAACAAATGAAATGAGTTAAACACGAGAGTTAAAATCATTTAGGCACTAAATGTTTCTAAGTAGGCAAAAAGGGCCACCAATTGTATTGACAATTGTTTTTTGTTTTTAATATATTTTATTGATTTTTCACAGAAAGGAAGAGGGAGGGATAGAGAGTTAGAAACATCCATGAGAGAGAAACATCGATCAGCTGCCTTTTGCACTCGCCGCACTGGGGACGTGCTCGCAACCAAAGTACAGTATTTTTCGGACCATAAGATGCACCAGTTTTTAGAGAAGGGAAATGAAGAAAAAAAGATTCTGAAACAAATAGTGTCCTAAAATATTTTATGTGCATTAAAACCCAACATCACAGTCATAAACACATGTAATCAACCCTGTAAAGTAAACAGCAGCATTTAGAACCATTTTAGAGCTGAGCAAGCACACAGAGACCACACAGAGCCGGGCAAGTAAAAAAACTTTTTTTTAAAAGTATATGTGTAGGCTATATTTGGACCATAAGACGCAGGGACTTTCCCCCCCCACTTCTGGGGGGGGGGGAAAGTGCGTCTTATGGTCCGAAAAATACGGTACATGTCCTTGACCAGAACTAAACCCAGGACTCTTCAGTCCGCAAGCTGATGCTCTATTCACTGAGCCAAACCGGTTTCGGCTGACAATTGTTTTTTTTATTGCAATTAAAATACCTGATGATTGCCAAAACTGGTTTGGCTCAGTGGATAGTGTCAGCCTGCGGACTGAAAGGTCCTGGGTTCAATTCCGGTCAAGGGCATGTACCTTGGTTGCGGGCACATCCCCAGTAGGAGGTGTGCAAGAGGCAGCTGATCAATGACTCTCTCCCACTGATGTTTCTAATTCTCTATCCTTCTCCTTTCCTCTCTGTAAAAAATCAATAAAATATATTTAAAAAAATAAAAAACCTGATGATGGTCAGGAAGGAGGGGGGAAATTTTATGATGACTTCAGAGAATCTTTGAATAAAACATTAGACAGAAAGCAGCTACAGATAATTATGACACAAATGGGCATCACTGTATTCCAATAAAATATTACTTAAAAAATAAATTTATCAATTGCTGCTCGCCATAAAATATAAGAAGTGATTTCTAGGATATACAGTAAAGTGAAAAAGCAAGATAGAGAAAAGTATGTATGGAGTGCTGCCATTAATCTAAGACAGTAGGTGAATCTGTGTCCTTTTGTTTAGGGGGGAAAAGGAAAGATAAAAAAATTTTCTAAGTGGTCATCTATTATGGGAAGGAGGAAAGTGAAATAGAAAGGTATAGTGCTAAACTTTTCTGAATATACCTTATTTAGTAGATTTGACTTTGAAACCTTGTTATTTTATAAAACATAATAATAAAAAGTCATCTCTATACATCACAAGCAAAATGAAGCAAAGTATTCATTTGATGACACAACCACACAAAAAGGAACTATAACAAGTGACTTTAAAAATATAGCTATTAGCCGAAACCGGTTTGGCTCAATGGATAGAGCATCGGCTTGGGGACTGAAAGGTCCCGGGTTCGATTCCGGTCAAGGGCATGTACCTTGGTTGCAGGCATATCCCCAGTAGGGGGTGTGCAAGAGGCGGCTGATCGATGATTCTCTCTCATTGATGTTTCTAACTCTCTATCTCTCTCCCTTCCTCTCTGTACAAAAATCAATAAAATATATTAAAAAATATATATAGCTATTAAAAAGACAGACATATAGACCAATAGAATAGAAAGCCCAGTAGTAAACCATTATATATATGGTCAAATAATTTTCGAGAGGGTGTCAAGACCATTCAATGGGGAAACCACAGTATTAAAAAAATTGGTGTTAAAAAATTAGATATCCTACATGTAAAAACACCCCACAAACAAAGAAGTTGGGCCTTTACCTTACAATTGTATATAAAAACTAACTCAAAATGGATCATAGTCCTAAATATAAGAACTAAAACTATAAAATTCTTAAAAGAAACCTTAGGGGAAGAGTTTTATAACACTGGATAATAATTTCTTGGATATGACAACAAAAGCAGAGGCAACAAAAGAAAAATATTAAGTTAAAAATTGTACTACCATAAAAATTAAAAGCTTCCATGAATCAAGCAACACTATCAAAAGTGAAAAGAAAATCCTGGCCAGCTGCTCAGTGTTTATTGTGTTGGCCTGTGGCGGGAAAGATTGTGGGATCGATTCCCAGTGAAGGGCACATACCTCAGTTACAGATTCCCTGGCCCCTGTAGGGGCAAGTGAAGGAGGCAGCCAACTGATGTGTCCCTCTAATGTCTCTCTTTCTCTCCGGCTCCTCTCTAAAAATTAATGGGAAATATATAATTTATTTATTTATTTATTTATTTTGGTGAGGATTAACAGCAACAACAAAAAAAGACCAACTGGCCGAAACCGGTTTGGCTCAGCGGTAGAGCATCGGTCTGCGGACTGAAAGGTCCCGGGTTCGATTCCGGTCAAGGGCATGTACCTAGGCTGCGGGCACATCCCCAGTAAGGGATGTGCAAGAGGCAGCTGGTTGATGTTTCTCTCTCATTGACATTTCTAGTTCTCTATATCTTTCCCTTTCTCTCTGTAAAAAAATCAGTAAAATATATATTAAAAAAAAAAAAAAAAAAAGACCAACTGGGAAAGACATATGTGAAAATCACACACAGTGGAACCTCGGTTCTCCAACTTAATTCATTCTGGAAGGCTGTTCAAGAAGTGATTTGTGTTGCCAAAACGGGTTTAGCTCAGTCGTAGAGCGTCGGTCTGCGGACTAAAAGGTCCCAGGTTCAATTCCGGTCAAGGGCATGTACCTTGGTTGCGGGCACATCCCCGGTAGGGGGGTGTGCAAGAGGCAGCTGGTCAATGTTTCTCATCGATGTTTCAAGCTCTCTATCTCTCTCCCTTCCTCTCTGTAAAAAATCAATAAAATATATCTGAAAAAAAAGAAATGATTTGTGGAAGATAATCATTTTTTCCAATTTTAAATAATGTAAATTGAATTAATCCATTCCAGATCCCAAAATGATTCCCTGTTTTAACCTTTCTTAAATACAGCACACGTCTAATGTATTGTTTAATCTATAAATTAACACGTTTATTAAGTTTACTGAACCACCCCTACTAGCCTTAGACAGATTACTTTTAGTGTTCAATCCCAGGGATGAAAAGTCAGCATGCAGCATTTTTGCTTGTTCATAGATCACTGCCTCTGAAATAGCTGTTACTAGCTAATTGCTTTTGGTTTATCCAAATTAGCAAGTTTTTCTACCTCTCTCATTGTCTGTGATCACTGTTTCTTTCACACACTTAGCAACATTAGGACTCTTTTTTTTAACAGAATGATTCTGTTGATTGTTTAAAATATTTTTTTTACTGATTTCAGAGAGGAAGGAAGAGGGAAAGATAGAAACATCAATAAGCCCTGGCTGGTTTAGCTCAGTGAATAGAGCGTCGGCCTGTGGACTGAAGGGTCCCAGGTTAGATTTCCAGTCAAAGGCATGTACCTTGGTTGCGGGCGCATCCCCAGTAGGAGGTGTGCAGGAGGCAGCTGATCAATATTTCTCTCTCATTGATGTTTCTAACTCTCTATTCCTCTCCTTTCCTCTCTGTAAAAAAAAAAAAATCAATAAAATATATTTGTTTAAAAAAAGAAACATCAATGATGAGAATCATTGATCGGCTGCCTCCTGCATAGAGATTGAGTCACAATTTGGGCATATGCCCTGACTGGGAATATAACCTTGACCTCCTGGTTCATAGGTCAATGCGCAATGACTGAGCCACACCAGCTAGGCAACATTAGCACTCTTGATGGCTTTTTTATGTCTTAAAATCGTGCTAATTCTTGACATTGATTTCACCAGCTATAAAAGCATTAACTCTGTTGCCTGAAACACTTTTTGTCATTCGTAGGTATCAGCTTGAAAGGGTTGTCAGTTTAAAAATAAACTGGTTGACAACCAAATTGTACAAAAAATGAGGTTCGGCTGTGTTTGATAAGGGATTAATAGTCAACAAATATAAAAAACAACTACAAGGAGGATCCAAGATGGCTGCACAGGTAAACACCTAACCGCAGCCACACACAACAATTTCAATGAAATACAACTAAAATATAAAATGGACATTGCCAGAGCTACAGGAAGTTGACTGACTGGAAATTCTACAACAAAAAGGAAAGAGAAAACCAGAAGGAAAATCAGAGGAGCTGTAAAAGCCTAAGGTACAGAGATACACTGTGTGCACGGAGAGGAGGGGGAGGCTGAGTGCCTGGCTGGCATTCCCTAGCGTAGGGGTGTCGAACTCAATCAGAGAAGGGGCCAAAATCTAAAATCCAGCCTAAATCGCGGGCCGAATGGTTTACTGAACAGTCATAAACTGTCATTGTGATGGAAACGCAGCGGAGTGCAGTGATGACAGCGCGGTTCGGGCCACATTGCAAGGCCTGGCGGGACGGATTTGGCCCGCGGGCCTTGTGTTTGACACATGTGCGCCTAGCGGAAAGGAGATAGGGGCTCTGGACTGTGCTGAACCCCAGGCCCGATAGCGCTGAAC